TCCAAATCAAGTAGAGTTGGGGATATAGCTCAGTGGTAGAGTACTGCCTAGAATGCACTAGGCCCTAAATTCAATCTCTAGTCAAAGAAAAAATAGAACTAAGAGAATTGTTCTTAAAGAAGTATGCTAGAGCCCTCTCTCCACCATCTTGGAGCCTGTGGAGGCCTGCTGGGGATAGGACTTCTAAAAGGCAAAATGTCTGGAAGGCTATGGTGCAAGGCCATTTTTGCTGGCTATAAGCGGGGTCTCCGGAACCAAAGGGAGCACACGGCTCTCCTTAAAATTGAAGGAGTTTATGCCCGAGGTGATACTGATTTCTACTTGGGCAAGAGATGTGCTTATGTATACAAAGCAAAAAACAACACAGTGACTCCTGGCGGCAAACCTAACAAAACAAGAGTAATCTGGTGAAAGGTAACGCATGCCCACGGAAACAGTGGCATGGTTCGTGCCAAATTCTGAAGCAACCTTCCTGCTAAGGCCATTGGACACAGAATCCATGTGATGCTGTACCCCTCCAGAATTTAAACTAATGAAAATTAAATAAAGTAAATCTGTGCTCTTGTAAAAAAAAAAGTATGCTAGATTTCAAAAACTGCTCATTTTTCTTGATGCTCTATAAATATGGGAATCAATGATGGACATCAGAAACTAAGAACCTAGAAAAAGAGAGCCTCCAGGCTTCTCTTTACTTGCATGCCTATTATCTCCAGTATATTCATCACACCCATTTTCAAGTAGACTAGGATGGATATTACCTATTCTGCCTAGTATTCTAAAAAAAAGTTACCCTATTGATAAACATTAACCATGTAGATCTCATATATCTCTCTCCCCTCTTGTTCAGTGTTTTATTAAATCACACTTCTTATATTTCTTATAAGAAGCAAATATAATTAATTCATTAAGTTTCATGTAGCCAGGTGTGGTGATACATTGTTGTAATCTCTACTACTAAAGAGGTGACAGCAAGAGGATTGAAAGTTGAGGCCAGACTGGGCAACTTAGTGAGAATCTGGCTCAAAATGACACTAAATAGGGTTGAAACCAGGTACTGGTGGCTCATGCCTGTAATCCTAGCTACTGAGGAGGCTGAGTTCTGAAGACTGCAGTTTAAAGCAAACTCAGGCAGGAAATTCCATTCAATTCTCATCTCTACTTAATCACCAAAAAGCTGGAAATGGGGCTGTGGTTCAAGTGGTACAGTGCTAGCCTTAAACAAAAACAGCTTAGGGGGCAAGGAAGATAGCTCAGTGGTAGAGTGCTTGCCTTGCATGCATGAGGCCCTGGGTTCGATTCCTCAGTACCACATAAACAGAAAAAACCAGAAATGGCATGGTGGCTCAAGTGGTAGAGCACTAGTCTTGAGCTGAAGAGCCAAGGGACAATGCCCAGGCCCAGAGTTCAGGCCATGATGGACAAAAACAAACAAACAAAAAACAACAACAAAAAACAGCTTAGGAGCAGCATCCAGGTCCCAGCACCAGCACCAAAAAAAAAAAAAAGACTGAGTATGTAGTTTGGCAGTGCAGTGTTAGCAGATGCAAGACCACACACACACACACACACAGAGTTGTTGCATGTAAATCAAATCATTTATAATCACTGGAATAGCAAGTTGAAGGGTTCCTGAGGAAAGTTCCTTTGGGATTAGAAGTCAGATTAGAATCTCACAGACTAGACTGGTTTCAGACCACAGTCTTCAAATCTCAGACTCTTGGGATCATCAACCACCTGTTTTTTTTTTTTTTTAACCATGCATTAGTCCCCAATCAAACAGCTCAAGTCAACACCCTAACTAGGTGACCAAGAACAGAATGATGAACAAGCCTGAGAGCCAACTTCTAGTTTCCTCCCTTTGGAAGACAGATGTTTGTAGATATAGAAGGCATTCCAATAACAAGTAGCTTTCCCTTTTATGCCTAACCTAACCATAATATAAGAAAATATCAATGAAAGGGAGAGAAACTTGGATTTCCTTCAAGTCTCGTTCCCTAACAACCAGCTTACAGAAGACATAAAAGATCTATCACTCTGACTGAACTTCTACTGTGGGGAAGGTTGCAGAAAAAGACAGCTGTGTGCAGGAATCAAAATGTGATCCCCATTCCCATTAGGTAGGAAGATGGTAGGTATAATAATAAAAGCAGGAGTAGCAGTTCTAATATCTTCCCTAATAATTGATCTGTCCCTTGTTCCAGCCTTTGCCAGTCAAAATTCAGGCTTGACACAAGGATTGTCAGTAGTTATTCAGGACTCCCATTTCAGCAGAATAACTGCTGGACCAAAAGATTTATCTAGCTAAGTTCCTCCCAAAAGAAAATCAGAGTGTGAAACCCTGCTTTAAGCAGCCAGCTTTCCTGCATAAAAGGGGATTACAGAAAAAAGCCTCAGGGAGTGAGTGTATCTCCTATTCTTATCTTTCACTGGAAGTGGGGAAAGTTTCTAAACTATAGGAAATAGACTGTGATTCACAGCAATCAAATCCTACCCGCAGCTGTGAATGCAGACAAGCTGGGATGAGTCCCTGCAGCTCCTCTGCGCACCGGCGCACATGCACTCACTGGAAAATGCTCTGCTGCAGTACTGAGTAACAGCAAAAAGCCACCAAGGTAAACCAGAGCTTGAGAGCCTCCTCAGCTGTCTCATCAGAACTCCTGTATATTGGTTGCTCGAGTTCTAGAGCCCCCCTCCCTGCCTTTGTTCTTTGTTGAAATGGATTCTGTTAAAGACATCTCAAATCCTCTCATTTTGTGCAGTTTCTCTGAAGGAAGAAAATAAGCAGGTGGGGAATATGAAACTTATATAAGATTCAGGGTACACTGGGCTTTCCTGGGCTGGGCACATCTGCCTGACAGAGGAGACTCATGGGACTGAGCTAGAGAAATGAAGTAATTTAGAGTCTCTAGAGCTTTAGAGCTCCAGAGCTTTGGGCAACACTTCCGCTTTTATCATGGTTTTTTACAAGAGGAAGAAAACAGCCTGGGTCTTGGCCTCTAGGGAAGCAGAGACCCCCCTAGAGGATCTGGTTCAGAAACAGCTGGTCTCTGTGTACAGCCAGGTGGCTGTCTGAGATATTATAAATACTCATCCCTGAAGCCAAGCTCAACTCCGTATTAGGAGGCCGCTTTGATGGCTAAATTGCTAGTTAAAACCAGTTTGCTCTGACAGCCTAGGAGGCTGGGCATTCTTGCATACACTGGGTTAGTCCCTCTCCTAGGATCCTATGCTCATCAAAATGCTGAGCCCTTGGTTGACTCTAACTGCTGTCAGGAGGGGCCCCAAAACTTCCCCAGTAAGCATGGAACTGTTTTCCTTACCATGAAACGGCTTTGTCACTCCATCCAATACCAGTAATATGTTCTACAGAAGGGCCAGGCATTCCTCCCCCAAAGCACAGGCTAACCACAACTCTTTATGTTGGCACAGCCTCAGGATAAATTCCCAGGGGTAGCCTGGATTTAAACTTTCAGATTTAGAAACACTGGGGTGGAGAGGAGTGGTTTGAACCCTGGCCCTCAGTGGAAAGAGAGCAAAGAAAAATCTCTTCTCATGTTAGAGCTGAAAAAAGCAAGAAGAAAGAAGTTGGATCCTTTTTTTTCCCCCTGAAAGATTGCCATGGTCACAGCCACAATCAGCAGAGGGACTGGAAACCACTTTGTTTCCTCTGCCCACCAAACTAGCTGAATTTTCCAGGATAAACTTAGTGGACATGGCAACCAAGACAACATAGCAGTTGGCACTAATTGACTCCCTAGGTGGCAACTTTTGATAACAGCCAGAAGAATTCCTGCTGAAAATCTTCATCTTTAGTATCTATACTAGGATCCAGGCTCCAGGAGATTCCCACCCCCCCAATACTGAGGATTGATGAGGATTGAACCTAAGGCCTTGTACATGCCAAGCAAGTACCTTACCACTGAGCTACATTCCCAGCTGTCCTTGGGAATTCTTGCACTAGATTTTCTATAATACCCTAACTGGAAACTCACACACATTCAGATATAATAGCTAACATAGATTGAGTACCTGCTCTATGCTGAGTACTCTTCCAAATATTCTGCATATGTCATTTAATCATAAGAACAATAGTTATCATCCCTATTTTACAGATTAAAAAGCTGAAGCATAGAAAATTTTTATAATTTTCATAAGGCCACATAGTAAATAATAGAGTTGGGGTCTGGCCTATGGTTGAGACATTGTATTGAATACCAAGATGTGCGTCCTAGGAAAGGAGTTGGGGAGAGGGGAGTGAACAAGCTTGTGATGCCACTGTCCAGACTGACTTCACTTGGTGTAAAGCACAATCTTTGTTTCAGGGTATGAGGTCTTTCCAAAGTCTCTGCTTAAGCCCCCACCATGGACAGTGTTCTTGGAAAAGAGTAAATCAGTTAAGGGACTGGGTCTGGCTGCAATGAATACGGAGCCTGCAGGAGGTCACAAGCATTGCAGAAGGAGGTCTGCTCTTAGAGGGGACATTTCCTCAGGAGCTGGACATGCATGCTTGTATCAGCACTGGTCTGGACGACAACGTTCCCGATTGAATGAGTGAAGGGTGCCGGCTTGCTAAAAAGGAAACGTGGTCAGCCAACCCTGCGGGCCAGGGGCTGGAGTTCTTGTGGGTTACTTCCTCAGGTGCAGGACAATACACCCTAAGCAAAGTGAGAGCAGTAAGGGAAGCCGAATGACATGGGGCAGTGAAACAGAGGCTGAGAGCAGCACTCCAAGGAGAGGGCTTATCGGCTGAGAAGGAAATGGGAGATTTCTCTGCAGCTGGTGCCTGTCACCCCTGAAACGCCATCGACAGCTGGGAGTCTGCACACAGCCCCTCACAGCTTCCCTCAGGTGGGAGCCTTCCCAGAGGCGCGCCCCCTACCCCACTCCCGAGAGTCGAGGTGCCGAGCTCCCCCTCGCCTCCCTGGGACGCTGAGCCGCACCTCCTCCCCTCCGTAGCCCCACGCCCACAGCGCCGGCGAGCCCCAAACCGCGCTGCTCACCTCGCTCATCGCGACGGCCGGACAGGACGCTCGGGCGCGGCAAGCGCAGGTGAGGCGAGGGGCCCTCGGGGATGGGTGGACAGCGGCCGAGAGTTGTGGGGCTCTCGGGCAACTAGAGGTTGACCAGAAGGGGAGAATTCGTGCTGGAAGCCGCGGCTTCAGTTCCTGCACCCCCAGGCTTTCACCTTTCAGATCACCACCAGGGGTCTCGGGTCGACCTCGTCCTGTCAAGAGCTGCTCGACGCGCCTCGGCCAGCCACAGTTTTTATAGTCAGCTTCGGTACCCGCCTCCAATCCAACCAATAGAAACTCTTCCTACTATTGAGTGACAGCCCCTCAAGTCCAATGGTGGCAGACTCAGAGATCTGCTGCATTTCCAAACTAGGGTAAGACAGACAGAGCGGGAAGGAGGGGGAGACAGTTGGGGGATGAGGAGAGCACCGCAAATGAAGTGGAGAAAGCAATGAAGGGAGAAAATGAAGTGGGGAAAGCCATGAGCGAGGAGAGAAAAGAGAACACAAAACAGGGACGGAGGGACAGAGAAAGAAGGAGTGTGAGATTGAGAAAGAGAAGCAAAGAAGAGCCTGGAAAAAAAAAAAAAAAAAACCAAGGGAGTTCACGGGAACAAGAACCAGTGAATGCAAGGATCAAAGCCAAGACGTAACAGATTTTAGTAGCTGGAGATGTAGCTCAGTGGTAGAATTCTTGCCCAGCAGGCAAGGAGGCTTTAGATTTAATAGTAGGCTCGCGATCTGAATAGAGAAGCATATTGAGAGAGAAATAAGAAAGAAGAGAGTGACAGAGGAGAAAGAGGATGGGAGAAAGGGAGAGACAGAACAGAGACTGGAACAAATGGCCATTGCTCTGTGGCAAAAAAAAAAAAAAAAGGAAAACTACCTCTTGGGGTAGATCATAGATCTTCAGAAATGGAAGACATTTAGGATTCATCAAGTCCTTCCTCCCACAGAGGGTAAAACAAAAAAAAAATGTCTCCAAAACGACAAGGCTCAGTAGGTAATGAGATTCCCTCAAAAGTTAATTTACAATTGCATTTTCATTCAGTCAAATGTCCTTCACCATGCTAGTGCCATGGCTAGGAAGCTGTTTAAGATTTAAAAAAAAAAGTGAGGGAAGGGGTGACCAAAAAGAAATGTACTTTTTACCTCACTTATGTTAAGTGTAAACTCTCTGTACCTCACCTTAATAATAACGATTCATTTTTTAAAATCCTAATGTGGTGACACCCAACTGTAATTCCAGCTACAAAGATAGGAGGATCAAAGTTCAAAACGAACTTGTACAAAACTTAAGGAGAGATTATCTCAAAAACAAGTTGTGTGGGCAGTACATACCTGTAATTTCAGTTACTTAGGAGGAGGAGAACCATGGGTCTGAGGCTTGCCCTATCTGAAAAACAAATTTAAAAGCAAAAAGGACTGGGGATTGAGAATCTGTCTTCAGCAGTAAAGTGAGTGTAAAGCCCAGTATTGGAGAAAAGAAAAAAAGACACTTGATAACCTATTGTTGCTAATAAAACATGCAAATCATCTCTCCTAGAGGCTTGCTTGCTTCTTCCTGCAATTCAGGTAGCACTGGTGGTCCATGTTTTGGTACCAAAACTTTTGAGTAGAGTCTACCAGGGTGTAGAGAGCAGATGTGAGAAAATGAGGCTCATAAACTAATTTACCAATCTATATATTGATTCTATTCCAATCAAATGGAGCTTTACAAAATAGTTACTGTGCTATTTAATTTTAAAGGAAAAAATGGGTAGGAAATAAGACAAAATATACAAGTCAAACTCTCTGATAACTGTAGTTACTATTTTTGCTGGTCATGAGGCTTGAATTCTGGGACTGGGTGCTGTTCCTGAGCTCTTTTGCTCAAGGCTAGCACTCTACCTCTTTGAGCCACAGCACCACTTCCAGCTTTCTGGTAGTTAGTTGGAGATGAGTTTCATGGGCTTTTTTTGCCTGAGCTGGCTTTGAACCCTGGTCCTCAGATCTCAGCCTCCTGAATAGCTAGAATTACAGGTGTGAGCCACTGACACCCAGCTGTTTTCTTTTTCTTTTGTGGGGGGAGGGGAGTCTGGTCGTGGGGCCTGATCTCTGGGCCTGGGCGCTGTTCCTCAGCTCTTCAGCTCAAGGCTAGCACTCTACCACTTGAGCCACAGCGCCACTTCTGGCTTTTTTCTTTTTGCTTATGTGGTACTAAGGAATCGAACCCAGGGCCTCATGCATGCAAAGCAAGCGGTCTACCACTGAGCCACCTTCCCAGCCCTTGTTTTCTTTTTCTTTCTTTTCTTTTCTTTTATTTATTTATTTTTGTCAGTAGCTGGGCTTGAACTCTGGGCCTGGTACTGTCCCTGCACTCTTCAGCTCAAGGCTAGTGTTCTACCACTTGAGCCACAGCACCACTTCCGGTTTTCTGGTGGTTTATTGGAGATAAGAGTCTCAAGCCCCATGACTAACAAAAAAAATTATTATTTATTGTTATTATAAAGGTGATGTACAGAGGGTTTCATTTATTTTTAAGGAATTCCTTTAAATTCTCTTGTCTTTAGTATATCTGGGCATTGTAAAACTGTTTCTACAGCTTCAGTCACCCAAGGGTGACTACTTCCAGCTTTAGCAGTTACAGCAGTTACAGTTGGCTTATTATAAATAGTCATTAATAGCTGAACTTGTCTTTGTCATACAATAGTTCTCAGAGATCCGAATTACCCATCTCTTCTCAACAACCAGAAACATGAAATACTGAAATAGCTAACTTTTCCCTAGCTAAATGCTCTGTGCATTCACATTTCCTCTGTGGGTCAGAAACAGAGAAAATGGAAAAAAAGAACACTTCTTGTCCCTCATCTGCCTGAGATCCTTTGACTCCCTTTCCATGGCAATCTAGCTGCCTGAGTTTCTCAATTTCCAACCAAGTGAGCTCCTACTTCTCTACCCCTAGACCTACTCTGGCTTCTTCCACCTTTCTAATGAACAGCTAATTTGCACTTAAAAGATTGACTTTAGGAAAATCAAGCTCCCCAAAGTTCTTAAGTAGTTACAAAAAGATAGTAAAGAGCCGGGCGCTGGTGGCTCACGCCTGTAATCCTAGCTACTCAGGAGGCTGAGATCTGAGGATCGCCGTTCAAAGCCAGCCCGGGCAGGAGAGACCGTGAGACTCCTATCTCCAATAAACCACCAGAAAACCGGAAGTGGCGCTGTAGCTCAAGTGGTAGAGCGCTAGCCTTGAGCTGAAAAGCTGAGGGACAGCTCCCAGGCCCAGAGTTCAGGCCCCATGACCGGACCCAAAAAAAAAAAAAAACCAATATGTCTAGCCTTGAGCTGAAAAGCTGAGGGACAGCTCCCAGGCCCAGAGTTCAGGCCCCATGACCGGACCCTCCAAAAAAAAAAAACCAATATGTAAACAAAGAAGTATAGTTATGCTTTAATAAACCTTTATTTGTGGATACTGAAGTTTGAAGTTCATATAATTTTCATGTGTTACAAAATATTCTTATTTTAAGTTTTAATGTAAAATCATTCGTTTTTTTCTTCTTCTTTTTTTTTTTTTCTGGTCGAGGAGCTTGAACCCTGGGCCTGGGCACTGTTCTGAGCTCTTCAGCTCAAGGCTAGCACTCTACCACTTGAGCCATAGCAGCCACTTCCAGCTTTTTCTGTGTATGTCATGCTGAGGAATCGAACCCAGGGCCTCATGCATGCAAGGCAAGCACTCTACCACTGAGCCACCATCTCAGCCCTGTAAAATCATTCTTATTCACAGGAAGTAAGTCAGATTTGGCTCATAGACCATAAGTTGCCAATTCCTACCATAGATAATGAAATGTTCAAATACAGGGCAGTGAAGGTGGCTCAGTGATAGAATGCTTGCCTTGCATGCATGAGGCCCTGGGTTCCATTCCTCAGTATCACATAAGCAGAAAAAGCTGGAAGTGGCGCTGTGGCTCAAGTGGTAGAACGCTAGCCTTGAGCTGAGGAGCTGAGGGACAGTGCCCAGGCCCAGAGTTCAGGCCCCACACTGACAAAAAAAAAAGTTCAAATACATTACAATAAAAATTATATAATAATAAATAGTAATAAGCCAAAAAAGAAAGACATCATCTAGGACCAAAACAGGCAAAAGCTTTCTGAGAAAGCTAAGATATAGGTTGAGCCTTAAAGGAGAGGTAGAATGTAGACAAATGAAGGAAGAGAGAAGGGAAAGAAGAGAAGATGGATCTCTCAGATGTATGCTGATAAAAGAAACATGTAAAAAGAAGATTCAGGTTTATGTTGGAGAAGTTCCAGGAGATATAGAAGGCTCCTGGATATCAGAACAAAGAATTTAAGCCTTCATACATACAGCATTTCTAGATTATTTGTGCATGGGACACAGGACTGATTTGACAAAAGAAAGACTAAGAGCAGAGAGGCCAAGATGGGGATACTGCAGCTCATCAAAGTATAAGAGCCTGGTTAAGTGTAGTCAGTAGCAGAAGAAAAATGGACAATATCAAGAAATATGACAAGGACTAGAGATGTATAACTCAGTGGTAAGAGCACTTGCCTAGTATGCCCAAATCTCTGGATTCCATCCCAGCAGTGGAAAGGGGAAGGCGGGAGGTAAGAGAAAGAAAGGAAGAAAACAAGCAAATAAATAAATAAGTTCTAGGATGAACATGGTAGTGTTTACTAATAATCCCAGCACTTGGGAGGCAGAGTTCTCAGTAGGGGAGAGATAGCATGTGAACATGAAGGTACAGTTTTGCTGTAGGTATTGTGATAGAAGTCTTGGAAAGTGTGAGAAGAGTCCAGAAAAAAAGAGTTGAATGTAATTTAATGTAAGGAGGCATCAGGATTGGGAGGAAGGGTGGTTCAAATGGTAGATCACCTGCCATGCACACACAGAGCCCTCAATTCAAACCCCAGCATTGCTAAAGAGGCATCAAAAGTGATGCCAAGCACCAGTGGCTCATATCTGTAATCCTTGCTATTGAGTCAGATCTGAGATCAGAGTTCAAAGCCAACTAAGACAGATAATCCTTGAGACTCTGCCTCCAATTAACTAGCAAAAAAGTTGGACTGGAGGCATGGCTCATATGGAGAATGCCAGATATGATCCAAAAAATCCAGCAAGAGTATGAGGACATCAAAAAACCAAACAACAACAACAAGAGCATGAGAAGCCAGGCACCAGTGGCTCACGCTTGTAATCCTAG